ATTTTATAAAAAAATTTAATAATTTTTAATAAAATTTAAATAAATATCACAGTTTTCTTTTAAGATTTCTATAAAGGTTTTGGAAAATATTATTTGTTATATATTTTTTTAATTAAACTAAAACATTTCTTTTAAATTTAGCGTTTAAATTGTTTTTATTTAAGATTTATTTAATAAAATTTGTAACATTTGTTTTTGTTGATTTTGTTTATGGAACACTCTTAAACTTAAAAAGCGTCTGCTGGGCCAGCCAACGTTTAGCCAACTAAACAACGAACGCTGTTAGAAAAAGTTATTTGAATAGAATTTCAAAATTCCAGCAACGAGCGTCGTCTAAACGATGATCGTCTGATTATTGTCGCAAGACCTTATTAACATACTAGAGTTTAGCAAAAAAAAACAAAAAGCGTGAAGAAAAAACAAGCTGAAATAGCAACAACTAACTCTGCTCAAAGCAGCTTAAAGATTAGCCCCTATAATGCCATAGAGACAGTTTCATGCAAGAGAAATTTCGTTTAAATTTCAAAAAAGTGGCGAGAGTTAAAAAGAGTGCTTTTCGTTACATATAAAATAGCTAAAAGAATTCATATGGAAAAAAGCATGGCTGCCAGGTGTTTATATGTACATAATAATACTAGACTATGTAAATTGTCTTTAGCTTCCAAACTATTTATCTATTATTCATTGTTTAACATAAAGTGGGGCTGGCGGTTTTTATACTCTTTCTTCTCTATTTTGATACATATATGACGTTTTGAATACTCTCAGTGTGTTCGACTAGTGGATCAGTTTGTTTTAGGTTTTTTGTTTATTTTTTCCATTATTATTGTTATTATTTTAATGGTTTTTTGTCTTGCAAACGAGTTTGCTTGTTATTGACATAGTGGCTTTAATATTATTTTAATATTAAATCATTTATTTAAATGTCTGCTACTGCTGTTGCTTGCTGCTTAGCAATTTTTTTTTTTAGTTGAAATTTATATCATGTAATAATTTCCGCCAAAAATAAAGCCATAATACAAATAATAGAGAAATTAACCACAAAAATACCTGCCTTGTTTAGTTAATTGTCGCAGATTTAAATGCACCATTTTTTTGTTTATATTTCAAGTCTATATTTTCTTACTTTTTTGTTGAAATTTTTTGGTTTTTGTCTAAAGTTTTTGACTTAAACGTAACATTTACAACATAACAGCAAATCAAAATTGTTTATAAATATTTTCATATTTTCATTTTCTTTTTGTTTTCACGTGTTTTTCTTGTTTATGTATTGCATAATAAATATATTTTCATATTTGGCTATGCTATTATAAAATTTATGTTCATATACAAGTTGGTTTAACCATAAAATTTATAAAAAGGCGGGCAATTTAAATTTATATTAAAGATACTTTTCCTAGCGAAAACTATAAACTATGGACTAAACTAGACTATAGGCTAGACAATAGAATAGACTATAGACTAGAAAATAGACAAAATTGTGTACCAAACTTTAGACTAGAGACTACACTAGAATAAAGACTACACTATATACCGGACTACAGACTAGACTATACACTAGAATAGATACTAGACCAAACTATATCCTAGATTATACACTAAACTGATTATAGACTAGATTATAGACCAAATTATAGACTAAACTACAGACTACACTAGACTATAGATTAAACTATAGACTAGATCAGAGAAGCTCAATATGGCCGTGTCATAGCACGCGTGATAGGGTAAGAAAATTCTGCTGACGCTAAGTTGATACACATACACTACAAGTTTAATTCTTCTTCTTTTTATAATGAGCAATATCAGTTGGTTTGCTCTCAACTTGAAAAACAAAATCAAATCAGTTGCTGATCAGCACTTGTCAAAGCAAGATCTGTGTGCGACGTTTTTAAAATACACACAGAAATACAACAACAAAATTTTGAGAAAGCCGAATGAATGTAGGAGAACATGAGAGAACAGTTGATAGTTTTTTATATATAGACGTTGCTATACGCTGGCTGTCAAAATCCATAATAAATATTTGACAGTTAGCATATACTTTATAGTTTGTAGTCATTTTATTAGTATACTTTTATTTTGAATTGAACTCTGTTCTCTGCTGCTTTACCAACACAAATAAAACTATGGTAGTCTATGGTAGTATGTGTTTGAGCACCACTGGACTAGATTATAGACTATAGACAAGACTATACACTAGACAATAGACTAGACTATAGACTAAATTATAGACTAGGCTATAGACTAGACTATAAACTAGACTAGACTATAGACTAGGCTATAGACTAGACTATAGACTAGACTATAGACTAGATTATAGACTAGACTAGACTATAGACTAGACTATAGACTAGACTATAGACTAGACTATATACTAGACTATGGACTAGACTATAGACTAAACTATAGACTAGACTATAGACTAGACTATAGACTAGACTATAGACTAGACTATAGACTAGACTATAGACTAGACTATAGACTAGACTATAGACTAGACTATAGACTAGACTATAGACTAGACTATAGACTAGACTATAGACTAGACTATAGACCAGACTATAGACTAGACTATAGACTAGACTATAGACTTGACTATAGACTAGACTATAGACTAGACTATAGACTAGACTATAGACTAGACTATAGACTAGACTATAGACTAGACTATAGACTAGACTATAGACTAGACTATAGACTAGACTATAGACTAGACTATAGACTAGACTATAGACTAGACTATACTACTAGACTAGAGACCTAGACTATAGACTAGACTATAGACTATAGACTAGACTATAGACTAGACTATAGACTAGACTATAGACTAGACTATAGAATAGACTATAGACTAGACTATAGACTAGACTATAGACTAGACTATAGACTAGACTATAGACTAGACTATAGACTAGACTATAGACTAGACTATAGACTAGACTATAGACTAGACTATAGACTAGACTATAGACTAGACTATAGACTAGACAAGACTATAGACTAGACTATAGACTAGACTATAGACTAGACTATAGACTAGACTATAGACTAGACTATAGACTAGACTATAGACTACTATAGACTAGACTATAGACTAGACTATAGACTAGACTATAGACTAGACTATAGACTAGACTATAGAAACTAGACTATAGACTAGACTATGGACTAGACTAGACTGTAGACTAGACTATAGACTAGACTATAGACTAGACTATAGACTAGACTATAGACTAGACTATAGACTAGACTATAGACTAGACTATAGACTAGACTATAGACTAGACTATAGACTAGACTATAGACTAGACTATAGACTAGACTATAGACTAGACTATAGACTAGACTATAGACTAGACTATAGACTAGACTATAGACTAGAATATAGACTAGACTATAGACTAGAATATAGACTAGACTATAGACTAGACTATAGACTGGACTATAGACTAGACTATAAACTAGACTATTGACTAGACTATAGACTAAACTATAAACTAGACTATCGATTAGACTAGACTATATACTAGACTAGAATCTAGACTATATACAATTTTAGTACAAAATTTCAATTTTAGTAAAAAATTTTAATTTTAGTACAAAATTTTAATCTTAGTACAAAATTTCATTTATAGTACAAAATTTTAATTTTAGTACAAAGTTTCAATTGTAGTACAAAATTCAAAATTTTAATTTTAGTACAATATTTTAATTTAGTACAAAATTTTAATTTTAGTATAAAATTTTAATTTTAGTACAAAATTTAAATTTTAGTACCAAATTTTAATTTTAGTACAAAATTTCAATTTTAGTACAAAATTTCAATTTTATTACAAAATTAGAATTTTAGTACAAAATTTCAATTTTAGTACAAAATTTTAATTTTAGTACAAAATTTCAATTTTAATACAAAATTTAAATTTTAGTACAAAATTTGAATTTTAGTACAGTTTGAATTTTAGTAGAAAATTTAGAATTTAGTACAAAATTTAAATTTTAGTACAAAATTTAAATTTTAGTACAAAATTTCAATTTTAGTACAAAATTTAAAATTTAGTACAAAATTTAGAATTTAGTACAAAATTTCAACTTTAGTACAAAATTTCAACTTTAGTACAAAATTTATATTTTGTTCTAAGTTTAATACATAATTTAAATTTTAGTACAAAATACACAATTTAAAACTTTTCAAAATACAAAATATCACTTTTAGTACAGAACTTTAATTTTATGAAAAAATTTCCATTTTGGTATAAAATTTCCACTTAAGTACAAATCATTTCTAAATTTAATTCAAATAAAAATAAATAAAAGTTTTAGTACATAATTTTAATTTTGGTACAAATTTATGTACAAATCTGCATGTTAAAGGATAATTTTAGAAGTTTTTTGCAAAGTTTTAACTTATTTCATTTATTTTTTCAAATATTCACAACATAATCTCGTTTTGCTAATCACTTAATTAGTTGGTTTTTATTGTAGCAAAAAAAACTTTAAAATAAACAAACATTTCACTTAAAAATATAATTTTTGTTTATAAATATTTTGGGCAATAATTGTTTATTATTGCTTCCAAGTATAAAAAATCTCTTTCTTTTGATTGTTACTTGGAAATCATCACACAACTGGAAGTTCACTTTCATTGGAATTCACAACAGTTATAAAATTATCTCTTTTTTATAAAACCGGCAAAAGAAACTTTTGTTTTTAATAGATTTTATGTAAAATTTTCCAAAACTTTTTAGTCATAAATCAACGCGTGATATAGTTAAAAACTTAGTAATATTTGTATAGTTTATTATGTACAATATAAAGAAGAACTGATAAAAAAAACTACAACCACACCACAACTTATTTTAGATATACTTTTCATGTATAACAGTACGATACACACTCATTTGCCTCTAGTGCCAAAAAGAAAACAGAACACATGTAGATGATGACAAGTGCCTGCTGACTGCATATCAGGCGACTTTTTTTATCCAAAATATAATAAATCTTTTGTTTTTGTAATGAAAATTTCAATGTTAATGTCAATTTATGAAATGTTAACTAAATATCAAACACTAGTTTAAGATATTTTAACTAAATAGGAAATAAAACAAGTAAAACAAACAAAGTAAACACCCACCTTTGGCCAATTGTCTCTTGAGAGAAGCAGCATCCTCAGCAGATTGTTGTGACGACATAATTCTTGCTTTTGTGTGTGATCACCTGAATATGAAATGTTTGCCTAGAGTGGTATATTTCTTCTTCCTAATTACTGT